GGTCGCCACTCGAAAGGCGGTCACAAAAGCGCCCACCATGGGTGCAAAGGCCCCCAAGGAAAGAATAATGCCTCTCTTGGGAGGCGCCAATCTGAACTATGGGTGCTTGTGGACCCAAGCCCCAAAGGGGCTTGGTTTCTTTGCTTTCGGTGTGCGCGTAGCTTCGCGCGGATCGCTTTTTATGGATCTTCAGACTACCAAAGACTGTCTAGGAGTAAAAATGGGTTATCCAACATTGATATGAACACCGGGGGTGCGCCATGTCAGATAAAATCTCTGCTCGGGCTCAAGTACGACTCGAATGTTCCAAAATTCAATTTTGCGCTCAAATGTCCGTAACAGGGTTTTTACTGATCCAGAAGCAGTGGGAAACTATGCATCATTAAAATATGACTCTGTATCTCAAAAATAAACATTCCAGAGGTTTCAATATGGGGATTTTAATGCCGACAGACGTCTTCGACCCCTGCGCTAGTAAATAGGTTCGAAATCTGACTTCTTTTCAAAATTTACGTGGGTGAGTTTGATGACTCCCCTTGGCCACCGAAGGTTCCAAACAGACGGGATATGACCTCTAAATACCAAGTGAGACATTAAATATGTCCCATGTCGGAATTAACGTCGCCCCATGGTGAATTCTTCTGGGTAGGGCTAAATTGAGACTGGCCTTGATTTCGTGCTTGAGGCACGTACCAGATGGTTCGGACGTATATCCTAGGCTTCGGGAAGTTGTAAACAGTCTTGTAGCATTCAAGCGGACACTGAAATATATGACATCCAAAAGTGATGCCAACAACTATGTTTTTTTTCTTGTGGTTTAAGACATGTAAAGTTTAAAGTTAGACTTGAATGGTGTATGTTGATGCCCATATCATCGAGGAGGCATATATAACTTTCCTATTTTTATTATCCTTGTATAGTGATCGCAGACACCATACCCATATGGTAGCACTTTGACGTTGGCCCTCACTCGAAAACTAATAGCCATCACAACCCTTCAAGAGATCTCCCATGGTCCCTCTCATTCTTTATTATTTATTTTTCTCCCAGCCACAAAATCCTCTTTCTATCACACCTTTATATTATTTTATATTTCATAAGCATTTTCTTTTATCATATTTTGCAGCATGATTCAATCTTCAAAGTGATAGCTTAATAATTTTATTATTACTTACATCTTCACCATTCAATCCTTAGCTGAGCCTAATCTTTGCTTTTTCTAGTTCAATAACGTGTCTGATTTTCACATTTTTTTTACATTATTGCAGTCTATTCTCATCATAATAATTTCTGGCTTTCCATAAATCGTTCATGTCTAACTTCTTTGACAACAATCTTTAAAATTATTTATTTTCTAATATTAGCTTATGTAATTAGCATGTTATCCACTTACAATAATATTATAATATGACCTTTTCTTATTTCTTGTATACATCAATAGTGCTTTGCATTGCATATACAAAAGTTAATCTTGTGTATGAACTTATCAAAATATTGGTACTACTGATGAGGCTTTGTTTCAAGTAATAAAGGTATTTATTTAGCTTATATGTAATTATTCTTTTTTAGCTTCAACAAATCTTTTGGTTTCTGTCATGTAGATGCCATTCTCTAGGTCACCTTTGAAGAAGCTATTTCGACATCTATTTATATACGATATAGATCCTATTTTATTATAATACCCATGATTAGACAAGTAGTCGTATTTTAACTTTAAGAGAAAATATTTCTAATTTTTTATTTTTTATTTCTGAAACCCATGTATAAAAATCCTTGTCTTATGCATTTATGTTGTTAAACTTGATGTTCATGAAGTTCAAATATCTCATGATTGAGTTGAACTTGTTGATGCTATTGATGCTGAAGCTCATTTCAATATATTGAGATTAAAAAAATTGTAGATTATATTTTTTTTGTTGATTGTGGAGATTTTTTCCTTCATTGGAGAGCACATTCATCTTTTATTGTAGCGGTCTTGTTTAGGACGTTGCAAGTGACACTCATATTGAGGGATAGGTGAATGCCATCTAAAGCTTTTATGTCCATCAATACCCACTCTTTTTGATCTACTCATTGCAGTATTATTTTTTTCAGTGATCGGTGAAGCTTTCTCTGGTACAATAATCCTTTATCTTCTAGAACTGTTGACCTTTGAATTTGTTGATTTTGATATTCTTGTAATCCACTCCTGAATTTGCAAGCTTTCTAAACCTAAGCTTTGATATTCGTTAGGATGATAATAAAATTTTGAGCAAAAAATTAGCAAAAATTGAGATCACAAACATGACTATGATCATAAATATAAGCCACAAGTTTAGGTTCTATAAAGAAGGGAAGCTCTCAATTCTAACAAAGTAAAGTTCCCATTTCCCCTTGAAGAAGTAAAAGATCTTCCTCCTTTGTTCTCTCGGTTGGCTTCTCCTCGGCCTTTTTACTCTTTTCTTTTCATTAATTGTTTGTGGTTGCGAGATGCCAAACCCTTTATTCTGGGTTCTATTTAATAGCTCTTACATGACCGCTCAAACTTAATTATTGGTCTTTTCAAGATTCTTACAAATCCCCAATCAGTGGGATATAGGCTTGTTGTTGTTGTCGTCGTCGTCGTGAAGATTCTACATTAATGTAATTTTTAAAAAATATTATCATGGCCCACAAAAGTGGATTGGCCATATATTTGCATTTAATGTGGTCGTTCAATCAAATCTTATGATGATTTTATTTCAAGAAAATTAATCTCCGTAATTCAAACAACTTCACTCACTATAGTAAGTTGTTCCCGTTATTTAAACTTTGACTTTTGTTTCTTAGTGGAGCTTAACCCTGAAAATCAAGGTTGTTCATCATCTTATACATCATTAAAACTTGTAGCATACATGGTTCATCACGTTTAATATCGTTTTAACAACAGGAATAAAAATCTCTCAATGGATGGCTTTGCTACCATGACAATTTTTTATGATTTTCATGAGGTGGGGTCTTATTTTGTTATGAAATGTTATGCATTGTTTATTCTTCATAAATATAGCATCAACTTTAAATTGATGAAATCAATGGGTTAAATTGAGTTTTCTAGCGGAAGAATCTCTCTCTTATGTTTCCTAATATGTGTGTGAGTGAATCTCTCTCTATTATATATATATGCTCGTTAAGTGTGAGAGAATCTCTCTCTTACTAAAATAATGGCTAAACTTTGGAATATGTAAAATATTTTATTATTAGCAATGTCATTTTGTAAAGATAACATCATCATCTTCTTTCCTTATCCCACTATTTGACTTTTGCTTTATGATCTTTTACTTTTAGTTGTTTTGGTGGAGTGCTAAATGCAATACATAATTTTTTAGAATCTATATTGATGCTGCCTGAGTCCCACTTTTTTCTTTTATTTACGCATCAAATGGTTTATTTTCCACGTTTCATTATATTTGTCCAAGCAACAAAATATATTTGTCATCATTGTCATCGTCATCATCATTAGCTTAGCTCTTTTCTAACTATCTGGATTCAAATTTATCAATGCTTATTTTTATTCATTTATGTTAAGTGCTTCTGTGAGGTGATAAACTTTTTCTTCACTAATCATTTTGAACAATTTTTGTTTAGCTTTTTTTTTTTTCTTTTTCTATCCCTACGATACTAATGTTTGTTAGTTCCTAAGCTGTTCTTCATTGATTCTACATGTTTATATCTTAAAAAATGCTGTAGGGTTCAAGTAAAATGTTACCTTTTGTTTAATTATGTAGGATGCATATATTTTGGAAAATTAACTATGTGAAGATTTTTTATCTTTTATTCCGTCTTCCATTAGATAGAAAGGTGAGGAGATTTTTAACCATTATCAATTTCATGTGTTTTAAATAGTCAAACTTTTCTTTTGCGTGCTTTGTACGATCCATTCTAGAGTATAACCTTGAGTATAGCCTTAGGAAGCAAAGTGAAGGACTTCAAGTTTGATTGTTACTTTTATCTTGAACTTGTCTTATAGTTGTTAATACCAATTCTTCATAAGGCCTTGACATCATGTTTCTTACGTAACTTGAGGTACAATTCATGAGATTGCCTCTTCTGTCAATTTTTCTTTTACATCAGTGGCAACAGCAACAATAAACAATAACAGCTAGTTTTTATCCCATGAAGTGGTGTCGGCCACATGAATCCTTTTTCTTTTACATCAGCATGAAATAAAAATGCAAGGAGCAAATGAAAACATCTCATGTGGAACTAATATTTACATTTTGTACATGACTTTTCGTTTATCACTTTATGAGACTCATAACCGTTAATTTGTAAAACAAAATAATGATATTTTGTGTATTCTTTATTGATGGTGTTTACTTGAATTTAAGTATCATCATAACCGTTACTTTGTAACACAAAATAATGATATTTTGTGCATTCTTCATTGATGGTGTTTACTTGAATTTAAGTATCATTATCAAATGATAGCTTTATCCTCTCACTATTCGGATTTGGCCTTGTAATTTTTCATTCACTATTTATCCTTGTGTCTTGCGTAAGTTGTTCCATCTATATTATGCAATTCTTCTTCAAAGTACTTTCAGTATACATCTTTTTCTTTTTAATCTTTTGATATAAATTTTAGGAAAACTTACGTACATACGACTCGATTCCTATGTATTTAGATATCTAACACCTAAACTTCAAGTTTTACATAAATGTCACCTTTCCTATGCTTAAAATGGTGTTATTCTCTTTTCAAAAGTTAAAATGGTGGTATTTTTGATGCTAGGGTGGTGTAAATGTAAAAAATAAAAATTAGGTGTTCTATATAGGTGGTTTGTATGTAAATGACCCAAAATTTTATCTGCCCATATTATGGGCGTACCACCACCCTTTTTAAACAATGCTTTTTTACAGTAATTCTAACATAAACCTCTTTTCAAATTATTATTTTTACATTCTTTTAACCTTCTTATTTATCTGACAATAAAATTTATTATTATTATTATTTTTTGCATAACATCAATCCTTGATTCCAGAGAATTGTTGCATACAAAAAATAGAAAGGACGAGACTTGTGATCGGTTGAAAGGTGTTTTAGGGGAAGGCATGACAAGCTGTGACGTGGAACAGACTGTTGAAGATTTTACCGCTTTCCTGCGATCTTCCTCTACTCTGCCCCCTTCTATTACAGAAGAAATGTTCACCTTAGAGCTTCCTGAAGAGCCATGGAAGGCGCCACTTCCTGCACCAAGTCGCCTCTCCGTCACGATGGACAACTCTCTAAGTCCCGCTCACACGCTAATTCAAATTCATTGTCCTGACCACAAAGGCCTCCTTTATGATATCATGAGAACTCTAAAAGATTATAACATCCAGGTTAGTAGATTACAAGTCTGTTTGGGGGCAGTCTTTCACCTTCTCTGAGTTTCAACTGCAATCACGACTTTTTCTGAAGAATGGTTTTTTTTTGTTATTTTCTAGAATTTTCTGTGATTGGAAGTTATTTTTTTCAACCCGACCTGTTAAAGTGTGGTGACTATAAAAGCTATTGTTTGATTTTCTGAAAAAGAAATTATAATTCCTACAACATATTTTTAAGTTGTTTTCTCCACCATAACAACCATTTTTACAGAAATTTGCAACCACCCTAGCCAGACCCTGATTTAGAAATGGAAGCAAAACTACCCATCTTTCATGTTTTCTATGCCTTAAATAAATGTTATCTTTCTACGCCTTTCAGATATCTTATGGGCGATTCTATTCATACCAAGGTGGAGACTGTGAAGTAGATTTGTTTGTTATACAAATGGATGGAAAAAAGCTTGTTGATCCAAACAAGCAGAAGGCATTAAGTGGCCGCTTGAAAATGAACTTATTCTCTCCACTCCGTGTGGCTCTTGTAAATCGCGGACCTGACTTGGAGCTCTTTGTTGCTAACCCTGTTGAATTGTCTGGCAAGGGCCGTCCTCTTGTGCTCTACGACATTACTCTTGCCCTCAAGATGCTCCAAATACGTATTTTCTTGGTAAGATTTTTCAACTAATTATTCAGTTTTATTCGTGTCCAAATTTTGATGCTTCGAGTAAAACTTGAACTTGGTTGGTGTTTCTTTTCAATGAAATCTTTTGCTGAAAATCAAGGATTGGAAATAAATTATCAGATTATACTGATTTTACTAATAAATTGGGTACAATTTAGTACATTTTTGCTCATTTTTTTGCATATATTATTATCCTAGGGGCCGATTGGGATCACTTTTGTTTTTATTTTCATTTTTTTGTTTTTATTTTACTAATAAATTAGGTACAATCTAGTTCATTTTTGCTTATTGTTTTGCATATATTGTTATTCTATGGGCTGATTGGGATTACTTTTGTTTTTTTTTTCAATTTTTTTGTTTTTATTTTATGTTTATGCTTTGATTTAAATTACAACTTGTTTTATGGAGCTAGTTTTATAAAAAAACACTCTTATCTTTTGAGTGTTTTTAAAAACAAGTTGTTTTTTTTTAAAACAAAAATAAAAATAAAAAAATTATACCAGCCAAACATATTTTTTAAAATAAAAGAAAAGATAAAAAATAAAAACAAGAAACAAAAGTGATGATAGGTGTTGTGTGCTCTGAAAATTCAAAAAGCGTCTCTAATTCTCGTCGAGAGCTTAACATGGGTGTTTGTTAAGTTTTGGGTCGAATTTTCAAAAACGGATGAGATAGTAGATAAGACACTACCCAAAGATTTCACCCTCATTTTATAAGGACTTTAAGATCTGAGGCTTGAGATTTCCCATAAGCGCAAGCTCCTATGGTTAGAAACCTCTTGCAATAACGGGAGAGCACTTTCGATTATGACTAGTCATTAGGTGATAAGTATTCGGACTTAGCATATAGGATTTAGAATTTAATTTATAAATATTATCAATGTGAACTCAAAGCGGATGGTGGGGAAAACAATGACGAACCCTATCAAGATCTCATGATTTCCTCATCCCGGGTTTTCATGGTCCCGAGACTACTTAGTCAGTGGAGGTAGTCAACCCAACCTGACAAAATGATCATTGTCAGCAGCCATAGGGTGCTTCGTCCAAGAGGACTTTGTAGATTTGGGGTGATTATTTGTCTGAGGAGATTAATTTAAGTCGACTTTAGCTTGCAGAGGGTTTTTTGCCTCATCGAATATACCCTATGATTCAACACTCAAAACCGCAGACTGTCATTGGGGAACATTACAAGCAATATTCATGATCGTAATATAATGGTACTATTTGGCAACAAACTACCTGACAAGAGGGCTCTGGTTGTAATCGCTTCTTTGTGGTGCCATTTGGCGGGAAAACCCCCTGGACAGAGGACTTATACCACATACTTACTCTCATAAGATTTGTTTTGAGCACGAATTTAATGGTACAATTGCTATGACCTGGGTTCTTTGTAAGCTCGAGTCAGCACTAGATTTTACCCTTCGACAAATGGCTGCAGAAGACAGATGAATTTTTCTTTAAGCATTAAGTGGCATAATTTTTCATTTGAATATTTTTTTTTATGTTTTCAAATATTTTAATTTATAAATGAACCCTTCCGATTGAAATTTACGATCAACACAACCATCATCGGAGATATGATTATTTTTTATCTCTATAAACCGTCTCTTTTACATAGGAGCCGGGTTTAATAATTGAAATAAATGAATTCGAAATAAACTTCGAGACATAATTTAAAAATAGAACCCTCCGTTGAGATTCACTATCAAATCATCCATCATCGGGGAAATGATTATCTTTGAACCTTATTAACTCTGTCTCTTTTATAGAGGATCGAGTTTAATAATTAAAATAATTGAATTCAAAATAGATATTGAGACAATTTTGAAATAGACTCCGCTAATTGAGATTCACTATCATAATGGCTATCATCGGGGATTGATGTCCTTGAACATCATTAAGAGCATTAATCTTATCAACTTCGGTCATCATAAGTAGGATCAAACTAGCTCAGCAGTGGCTCAAGCTTGTCGACTCCAATCCTTGTAGGGAGGAGGATCATATTGGCTCAATGGAGGCTCAATTTTGTTTACTCTATTTCTTGTAGGAAGAAGGATCAAATTGACTAAATTGAGACTTACGACTTCATCCTATAGGCAAGGCGACCCAGGAAATTGATTTCTTGAACATCGTTAAGAGTATTAGTCATGTCAACTCCAGTCCTTATAAAGAGGAAGATCGAATTGACTTTGCTGGAGCTCAATCTTGTTGACTCCATTCCCTGTAGGGAGGAAGATCTGATTGATTCAGTGGGGACTCAATCTTGTGAACTTCATTTCTTGTAGAGAGGAAGATCAGATTGACCAAAGTGTGGGAGACTTACGACCTTGCCCTATAGGCAAGATGGCCCATTTGATAGAGTGCGTAATTACATACATTCAAATTCAGCTTTCAAGGTTTTGAATTGTGTGCATGCTTTTCAAGACAAATTCACTATGAGTTTAACCATGTGTTTGACCTGCGCAACATTCTCACACGAAGAAGTTTAAGAACTTAGGGTTATCCTCAGAGCACATGCGGGTGTTTAATCTTATTGAATTGAATTTATTTTTAATTAGCTTAACACGTATTTCGAGGCATATTTGGTTTGAGCTTAAACCATTGTTTTAACCCGCACAATAATCTCGGATCTTGTGTTTGAGCATCTAACACATTAGTTGGAGCATATGCGAGAATTTTATATTTGTTGATATAGACTAATCTTTAGGGTGGTTTTATTATTATTTGCACAAACATGTTATCATTAAAATTTGTGCAAATATTTTCACTTAAGCTTTAATTTCACCTTCTGTTCGCTTGTGTATTTGCTGTTGCGGATCCAGTGGCGATGAAGACGTTCTAAACTTTGATTGTATATTTAGAATTATGCATTTCTCCCTTGCCTAGCTCTCATTTGAGTGTTTAGGTGGACCCCTCACAGGTTTCATTCAAGTTTGTTGACAAGTTTTCGAGTCTCCTGTGAGTTCTGCAAGTTTTATTTATATTTAATTTAGTCGCTCTTTTATGACTAGCATTTACACAAAAATCCAGCAGCATTTTGGCAGCCCTTGGTGTCATCCCCATTTATGGGGGCTGCATCGGAAAATTAAGACATTCCTACTATGCTTAAATAAACATGCATGGTCAGTATCTTTCGACACTGTGGCCCAAGGGTCTTCAAAACCCACTAAGCTTAAAAAAATGTGCATGGGGTTTTGTCTACCTGCAAAAAAAATAATAATAATGCACGCACACACGAAACTATTCCCGTTGCATCGATACGATGCAGATGTGTCTTTAACCCACCTCTCTTAAGAAAGTATGCTAGGGGCTTTAGATACCTGCAAATACAAACTTATAATACAAAATTTCCCTGCCAACACAACGGGTACTTGTGTTGTTACATGATCCAAAGAAAAATTATTCATTCGCAGATTCAACTTCTTTTTTTCTCTCCACTTTCATAGGTTTTTCAAGTTAGCTCTCCATTGAGAGTTGTGATGCCAAAATTCATGACTGTTCTCACTGTTCTTCTTTTAGCTTCATGCTGATTTGACTTAGACACTAGAGGTTTCTTTCCTCCCTTGAAAGAGAGAGCAACCCAATCAGTAACACGCGAGTCATTGCTGCATCTCATTTTCTTGGTTGTAGCTTGCAGTTTGTCCGGAAGAGAAAAATCGCGCTCACTTCAATTCTGCACAGCAGCTTTTACAACCTCCAAGTGAAGGAAGATCTACTTCCACTTTTTTTATTTACCGGAAATATATGAATAAATCAAATGTGATCACGTCAACAGCCCTCATAACTTTTCTAAACATTTCTCTCTACCTGACCATCCATTCTGTAGTAAAATGGTGCCCAGCACCATAAGAAAAAATTATTTGGGCATCACCTGAGATAGCGTGAGAGGTAGGCTGGAGGGGACGGTAGCAGCTGGCGAGATGCAGAGAGGAGCCGCTGGTGATGAATAGAATGTAGATGCGAGCTGCGTGAGAGGCTCTTGGATAGACGAGGTTGGTCTCTGCCGCGTGGAGTTTGAGTAGGGCAAGTGCAAGCGCCTGGCGTTGCTAAACCGAGAGGGAGACATGGAAAGGGTTGCCGGCAAGCGGGAGTGTTGCAGGGGCTGGGACTTCTAGTTTAGCTGCCGGCGGCTAAAGATGGGTTGACACTACAAAGGTGAGGGAGAGCTGCGTTGCGTGACTGAAGGGAGAAGGCAGCGAAAAGAAGTGCGAGAGGCTGGAAGGAAGAGAAGCATGAGTGTGAGAACTGGGAGAGCTGCTGGAGAGATTGAAGGAGAGGAGTTGCGGGCTAGTGCTTAATTTAGTAAAAGAAATTTTATTTCATTTTTTTTATATTATTTGCAATGAGGTGGCACCCATTGGATGGCAAGGGATGGGTACGAAATGATTGGGAGGTGGAATTGATGGAGAAGGAAGAGGCATTAAAAATAATAATAATACTTAATTACTATTATTATATTCTTTTACTTAGAAGGCTTGATTTATGTGTCATTTGCCCGTGAACGAAAACTCAGCAATATGGGTGTCCTCCCTAGGTAAAGTCAACATTCCAGACGCGCTCATGTGGTCTACTTTGAGATCAGAGGTTATTATGGCAGCTTTGACAACAATCGAGGTGATTTGAGTTCTAGTTACATGCATCACACCGGCATTATGTCGTTGGTGCCTTCTTCCAATCATGAGGAGGACCCCTCTTTAGCTATTTTCAATACTCTAAATGCAACAATGTGAGTTTATTTTGCAAATTGGCAATATTCAGATAAATTTCAGGATTTCCAAAGTGTTTCCACATTGATCACATAGTATCGCTTTCTACGTTTGCTGCTCTCACCATGTCCAATCGACTTGTCTTGTGGAGTATATGTGAGGGTAAACAGACGCGTCTCTAACTTTTCAAATATGGTCACTTGTATCACAAATTTCAGTAGAAAAAAGAATTGCTGTATCTTCTAATTTACTTCTAGTTTTTTATTTGTTCATGTTAAATTTATTGTAAGAGCTTAATGAATCTGCATTACAGGCGGAGATAGGAAGGCATACTATTGGTGGCAGTGAGTGGGAAGTCTACAGAATCCTCCTCAATGATGACCATTTTTTGTCATCATCAAAGAACAAAATTGTTGACAGAGTAACTAAGATGTTGATGGGCTGGAATTGATGATCATCAGAGTCCCAAGGGACTCTCCTCCTGCCTTTCATGTTCAAAATGAACATTGGAGGTCAACAGTTTATTTTCTTCCACTTATTCCAGTTCACGCAGTAGCCCGGTATTGAAGATTGTGCACTGACTCATCTATATATATAATATATATATAGATATATACATACATTTCACCTTATTGCATAATTCAACGGTTTATAATGTGGAGGAAAGGTAAGAGAAGTAGATGAATGCCGCTTGCTATGGAAGGCTACAGCATAGCATGCAAATAGGATTAAAAGATTGCAGATTATGAAATATAGTTGAAACTTTGAAGCTGATTATCTGCTTTTGCTGTTCATGTTTGCTTCACTTAGTTGCTTTAATATGTAACACTTACGAATGTATATAAAATATTCAGGCATAAAATTAATTGATTTGCGCCACATGATCATGCTGTGTTGTCTGAAACCTGCAGATGCCTGTGCTTGAAACAATTGATTTATCGGGTGAAAAATGCTAATTTGGAAAGTTTCTGTATATCAAGCTCATTTCCCTTACATCTAGCTCCTCTTAAGCTTTATATTGACAGTATTTTGTTTATTCTATGAAGTTTTATGATTGCTAGATGAAAAAATAGGTGCATTTGTATAAATACCAGAAAATTTCTGTTTTTATATATTGAACACCTTAAGTTTCATATTTACATGTATCACACTCAAATTTTTAATAATATATGTGAAACATCACTTTATCAACTTTTTTGGAAGTGATGCATATATTGTCAGGCACAGGTAATACCAAAGTGTTGTGAATCTAAATATTATACTTTAAATGATAGATATGTAAATGTAAAGACTTGTGTGCCATTTATGTTATTTTGTGTATTAACGGGTGTTGTAAACGCAGCTTGATGAACGTTAATAATTATTAATCTTTCTTGTTGACATGAATCTAGGTTTTATATTTTCTTTGTTCTTGGGCACTATCTTTTTCTACATGTTAAGAGATATATGTGCTCACCGCAACGGTATAAAAACCAGTGACACATCCTCAGAAAATTATCATCATTTATGAACCTTAAAGCATTTTGAGCGAGTAATTTCAAATAGAAACTAATGAGTATCCAAGTTCTGTTTTGATCAAATGAATAGTCAAATTGTCTGTCTCAATAAGGTGAGCTTAATGAAGTTAAAATTGGTTTGATTTGTCTGATTAAACTAAGATCAAGCTGTTTAAATGCAATTGAAGACTTTGGATGGATGATTGAATGGTAAGATGGATTCAAAATCTGATAACTTTACATTACAGTTAAATCAAACACTTGTTGAGCTGAATTCAATAAGCTCAAGATCACTCGATTATCAAATCATTAAGACATTCAAATGCTCATAGAATATCGTTTGATCAAAACGACAACTCTGTGCCGTCTGATGAGTAGTCTAAATTCATGCAACATTTACAGAGGATGCTATTTACAAAATTTATAAATAGACATCCCCTCCATGAAAGGGAGACTTGAGATATGTACCTAGAGGAGGAGGTTGAAGGAGAGATCCAAGCACTCGAGGGTTCCCGAGCTCTACCAATGCTAGACTATCGTTGTTCGGCCACCGCCACTGTCGTCACATCTTAACCACCGGCGATTAGCAACAGCCACCGCTAGACCATCGTTGCCTGATCGCCATCATCAGACTATCATCGCTGCTTCCCGATCATCATCGATTTGCTGCCACTGTTGCCAAACCGCCGCTTTCCGATTGCCACCTCCACCGGACTATCGTCGTTGCTTCCGAGACATTTTCGACTGGCTGCAGCCAACGTCGGGCCTCCATTGTCTGGCTATCAACGTGGAGCCATCGCCAATCCACCTATCACTTCCAGGTCAGCGCCAATTGATCGTCGCCATCGTGCCTGCCGATGCCACCACTGTATCACCGTCTTTTCCACCGTAACTGTCGCCGGACCATTGTCGTTAGGACGCTCCCATTTCCTTAACGTACTACGCCACTATCCCAGTGGAAGTCATGTCATTTTTGTTATCTTGCTCCCAGTTAGTTAAGGGTCGACATGGTCTTGCAACTTACAATAACATAATAGAATCAATTCAACTAGGTTAGGCCCCGTGGCTTTTTTTCTTACAAGTTTTCCGCATAAAAAATTATGTTTTCTGCCCTGTCAATTTTCTTAACCCTTGTGTGATAGATCTTCATACAGTACTAAAACAGAAATACAATACCTTATGCAACAACCAGCAAACATTTTGAAGCTTTTGGCGAAGAAGTAATCCCATTTTATAATTATCAACAAAGGAGCTGCACATCAAGCTAATAACAGAGACAAGGAAGCTGCAACACTCTTCGCCGTTTAACATTCGAAGGGAGTACGCCTGGCCTATGGTTTATTGATCAAAGTTTCTTCTTCTCTTGGCTTGATGCCTAAGTTGTTCTTAAGATAGTTGAGAATTTTCGTGCCTGACACATTCCTATTCATAGTTGTTGTGTTTTATACCACTCTAAAAATGAAACTATAACTCATATTTTTTCCCATTTTTTCTCTAATGCCATTTTAAAGGGCTGTTTAAATGTAAAAGCTTAGAAAACTGGAGAAAATATCAAACGGCCCGCAGGGAGTCTAAAAGAATAATCTGTGACGCTAAAAATTCTGCTTTTAATGATCTTTATAATAGATTAGATACTAAAGAGGGTGAAAAATATATGTATAAACTAGCCAAACAAAGGGAAAAGAAAAGTAAAGATTTAACTCAAGTAAAGTGTATTAATGATGAAAATCAAAAAGTACTTTTCTTCGAAAAAGTTATTCAACATGGGTGGGTGAGTTACTTTGATAAACTTTTTAATGAAGTTTCTGAAAATACGATCGACCTTAGTGATTTTAATATCGTGAATAATAATAAAACGTTTCATTTTTACCGTCGCATTAGCAAAAAAGAAGTTGAGGAGGCTTTAAAGAAAACCAAGGGTGGAAAGTCTGTAGGACCTGATGATATCCCAATTGAAGTGTGGAAATATTTGGGAGATTTGGGAGTTTCTTGGCTTACTAAACTCTTTAATATTATTTTAAAAACTAAAAAGATGCCTGAGGAGTGGAGGAAGAGTATTTTGATCCCCATTTTTAAGAATAAAGGGATGCACAAGAGTGTGCAA